ACATCTGCGTTTAACCAAACAGCTGCTCCTTAAAAAGTATTGTTTTAACATTGAAAATGGGAAAAATAACAGCATTGAATGATGTGTAGATATATAAAGGTTAGTTTAGTGCAATAAAATAGATTTTTTTAAATTTGACGTTCCAGCATGTTTTGCCCATTTTCTCTGAAACTTGATTTGCGACGAGTGAATGAATAAGAAGATATTACAAAATAAAAACAAAATAATATGGAAAAATAATTAATTATACAAAAAAATTATTGATTTAGTATGTTTTTGGCAATCTAACTTCAGAAAGGATAGTGTAGAATGTTATCAATAATAAATAAATAATTATAAAAATAATTGTGTTAGTCTAAAAATGTTCATTAAAGGCTAACATCAGCTTGAAAGTGAAAAGAGTTTCATGATATTTTCTCATGTTAATGTGTCCCATTTTCTAAAGTGTTTAGGAGAGAAGACATACACTTTCAAAGTATACTAACCAGATAATAATATTTATTATTTTGGTTTTTTTTTTTGTACAGAGATATAAAGTGCGGTAAATTGTTTTGTGAGGGCGGTCCAACATACCCTATCATTGGCTCATTGGTTCGCTCCCAAGTTTTACACGCATACGAAGGGAACCAGAAACATATATGTAAAACCGCTTCTGTTGATTTTGGCACTGATGTTCCCGACCCGGGACTCGTTGTGGATGGTGCACGGTGTGCACCAAACTCGGTTGGTATAAAACACTTGTTTGTTTTTAATATTTATTGATATGATGTAGCATAATATATCAGTATACATTCATAGAAATAGAAGTCATATAAAACATTCAAACATTATATTACAATACTTAACAAAAAACGATTTGGCAGATTTGATATTAATTCATATATATGGTAACTTAAAGGCCTTAAGAAAGTATAATACATACTCCAAGTATTGAAATACACGCCATCGTGTTGGGATTCAATATTTCGACATTAATTATGTCATCATCAGGTCCCGAAATATTGAATCCCAACACGATGGCGTGTATTTCAATACTTGGAGTATGTATTATACTTTCTTATCTGAGATTAATCAGTGGACCTTTCGGTTAAAGGCCTTAGCATTATAATTTTAGTAACGTAGGGAAGATACAAATATTTAATTGAACTACTTTTCACTGTATTTTTATTAAAACTCTGTAGTCGTTTGCTTGAAAAGGAATCTTAAATACTCTGTCCACACTATCAAATTTTTTTGACAAACTGTTGTATGCCCATATATAGTCATGATGTGCCTATATATGGTCATGATGTGATGTCATCATGACCATATTTAGGCATGTCACATGTTTTTGTCAAATAAAATTTGAGAGTCTGAGTTTTGTTGCGTTGAGGGCAGTAGAGTTTGTTCTAGAAGTCTCTGCAGGCTCATCACCTCATGCCTCCAGCTGGTACCCAATCATCTTCCCATCACACCCTCCTCCATTATCCCACCTGACACCCCTCCCCCATTTAAATACTCTTAGATATGCCAGTGCATATGCCATTGGGAACAACATGTATCCATTAACTTTCATCATCTTATGTTTTTAATCTCCGCAGGTTTGCAGTAATTTTGAGTGTAAAAACTTAACTGAATTGGGAATCACACCTTGCCCTCATAATTGTTATGGAAATGGGGTAAGTACAATAACCATGACTGAAGTAAACTAACCATGTGGTGCGGTATTATGAGAATATTCAGTGCGTTTATTTTTTTACTAGACCTTTGTTATTACACTGAATGCTCAGTACACCCCCAAATACTTATAAACATTTTTTTTTTTTTTAGTTTTTGGGCTCTATGAAATTCACAATTAGAATTGCTAACTTTGTCTATTCAATTAATAAGAATATTAAATCATTACAGATGGTATACATGATTAAAATTGGATATGAATGAACTTTCAGTTTTGATTTTAATGTAATTGATCTGATTCTATTTGATCACTTCCTTTAACATTTACTGTAGGTGTGTAACAGCAATAATCACTGCCATTGTGATAAAGATTGGGATCCTCCTCTATGCAGGGATCCTGGCTATGGTGGTAGCATTGATAGCGGTCCATCACGACCACCTCAAACAAGTAAGTTCTCTTCTGTACTTTGATTGGTTTATGTATACTTTAAATAAGCATGAACCTGATGAATATTCAACAGATATAAAATTTGTTATGGAATGGTAATTTAATTAAAGTGGCAATATTTGTATGCATTAATTTACTATTTTCATTAATCTTGGAAGTAACATTTTATATATTTATGTTGTTCAATTATGTTTTATAATTTTGTTATAATCAAATACTGGTGGATACTTTTGTCTCCCTGATCTTCGAGTTCAATCAGTCGTTGGATGGTGTTTGCATTGCAACGCATGAAGGAATGGCATGAATAAACCATACACGAATATACATATATTTATTCCTAGCTATGTATCTCATTAAATCTTTTACTATTTACTATTAAGAGTTAGAGAACAAGATAAAATGTAGAAAAGGATAGATTGGGGTGAAGGAGATTTGGTCAGGAATGATAATTGTGGTGTTCAGGGAAGAAGTTAGAATTGGGATTGTCAAAGGATTGAGAATTAAGTGGGAAAAGAAGATTGGATTAAGAGACCAAGATATGGTTGGAAGAGAATTGAGCTTTGGAGACGGGTTGGGATAGGGATAGGAAATTAGGTCTCTATGCTGATCCATTTATTTTATCTCGTTTATATTTATGAAAGTTCAGAGCAAAAATAGCCGCATGGCTAGTGGCTAAATTTCCACACTGTCAAATATTCAATGTGATCAAATCCTGTCATTTACTCATGTTGGTATGATATGACATCATTATGCCTGTACAGTATATGGATGTGATGTGATATGACATCATTGTGTCTATATATAGATGTGATATGACATCATCATGCCTATATATGGATGTGATATGACATCATCTTGACCATATATGGGCAGTTCACACAGATTATCTCATAAAACTTGATTGTGTGTAATGAGCTAGTTTAGCCTTTTCTTAACTAACATGAAACTCAAACTAAAAATATGAAAAATGCAAAGAAGCATAAAGAAATCACATGTAAATATATAGAAAATACTGCATTGGTCTACTATTTAAAACCATATAATATAAATATATTACCTACCTGACCTGTCTATGAAACATACAGTAGGCTTATGTACATATATCTTGTGTTTATTGTATTTGTAATAACATTATAGTGGTTTCCCTCCAATTAACGACCATTTTTGGGACCAGGGTTTTCATGGTCTTTATCAGCTTTGGTCTATAATTAGAATAATAATTATAAAAGACATTTGTTAATTTGGGACCACAGAAAAGTGGTATTTAATTGGAAGAGTCTTTCATAGATGGAGACCTGTATAATGTTTAAATTAGTGCATTCTATTTTTATCTGTATGTATGTGATAGATGTATGTAAATATTCTTTGTACATATGCAATGCACATATCAACACATTAAAAATGTTTGTTTCATAAAATCCATTTTCGATCACTTAACATTATCTGTTATTTTACTGCGCATTAGAGTAGTTGTGATTGTATACATGCATTTGTCTTCTTACAGTATTCCCATTTCATACGGATCATGGATTTATAGATGATAAAGGTATTATTACCTGGATTAATTATTTAATTAATTAAAAAGCAATGCAATAAAATTTATTTTAAATAATTATTTAAACCACCAACAGCAAAACAATTGTCATGTACAATATACTGTATATACAATTATGATATTAGTGATGAGTTAATATTAATTAAAATTAATACTTTTAAATTAAAAACAAAATAGTAGTAATACTGCCCTCAATACATTATTGATATTATTTTTCAATATTTCTTCCAACATTAAACTGAAGCTAATTCAAGTGAACATTTACTGTTCATAATTAAACATTAGGAGTATATGATAAATTGTTTATTTCTACTAATATTATTTTTTATTTATTTTGATACAGTAACTACTACTATACCTATAGTAGAAAGTGATGTAGATACAAGAGGTAATAGTAAGAATAGTCACTGAAACAATAATTTGTGATGATAATAATTAACGATAATAATAATAAGGATGGCAATAATGTTGACGATTATTATCATATTGATTTTGAGGACGATAATTATGGTGGTGGTAAATAATGATAATTATAATTATATTAATTATGTGTAAGCAATATTAATAATGTTAATGAGAATAAAAAATAGCAATTCTTAATGTTAATACCATTCTCACTTATTACTGTAGTATTGTTTATATGTCTTGAGTTTATATGTATTTCTAATATAAATGTTTTAACTATAATATTACATTAATTTCTAGATAATGAATAGTTATATTTCTACTAACTAAAATCACCATTTATCTTTTTACAGTCACCCCCACAATACCATTATTAGGAAATGATGTAGAATCAACAGGTACTTGTCATGTCGCAAATCCTTGTTTTTGTTTTTGACTTATTTGTAAACTTTTTTTTTTATCATTTACAACAAATTTTTGTCATACTCTTCAGTTTATTTAAATTTCTTTTGTTTTTGGTAATAAGCTTACTTAATGTTAACCAGTCAGTATGTTTGCTTTGTGTGAATACATGTTGGTTTGTGTGCTAGATATAAAAACAAACAAGTGGGATTTCCAAAAAGTTAAAACATTCATAAAATAGTGAAAAGAGGAAGGGGTGAGTTATATGGTTGGAGCAGAGGGATTTAGGAACAGTGGTGAAGCTATAGTTTCAAACTACGTTTTAGTAAAGAAATTCTATAGTTGTTACCTTTAATTCATTCATCCTCTATTCTGATGATTATAAAGTAATTTATAAACTATTTTAGTATGATCATTATTAAACATAGTGTAAAAATGTAATTGTTTTGAAGAATTATACAAAGCAAATTATTAAAAGCACACTCACTCTCACCTAAATCTGTACACCTTTATTTAACCCTGCCATCCAATTCATGGGCATAGGATAGGGTAGTGCAAACGCATCCCCCTCCCCAATGGAAGCGAAGTAGTTTCACTAAGTGGGTTAACATATGAAAAATGTTAACCCACCCGGCGCAAGCTCGGTGGTCTAGGTATGATGCCAGGCTAGTGATCTGGAGATCGTGGGTTCGAGTCCCACCTGAGAACAACTTGCAATTTTTTTTGCGATTGTTTGCACGCGTACTGAGGATTCAGTACATTTCCACGTCAGGTAGGGCAAAATTACACATTATACTTGATTCTCCTGACGCAAATCCAGTTATTGTCTATTCCATCAAGACAATAACAATTACTATCATATGAAAAATGACTACTAAGTTTTCATTGGAATAGGGATTTAGTTCTTGAATTCTCAATTGCCACCCTCGGTATACAGTTGTTATTTTCAATCTTCCTTGAGAATCTTTCCACTCCGACTAACATCCTAAACATAATCCATGCTCCACTATAATTCTTCTGTCGTTCAATTATTTTACTTTATTTCTCAACATCATTATTTTCATATATTCTCTCCACAATGACATAGTGACATGTCTGAATATCATTATTTTCAAATACAGCTCTCCCTCTAATTAACACTCTATATACGTATTTCTAAATATTGTTTGCTCTTATCAGCACAAATACAGGGATATACGCACATGCTAGTATTCAAGTGGCAGGTTCAATAATTGTCTGTGCACGCAATTCAACACTGCAAGCTGTATAACACTGTGTACCGATGCCTTGCATGCACTTCCCAACACATTATGCACTCATTACGTCATTTTGTGCATACTTGCTAACAATGGTGGTGCTAGAGGGAGCCTGGGAGTGAGGTCATGGAAGGCATTGGCCCACCCCTTCCCCCTGCCCCTGCCACCATGCACATCGCACACTTTTTTTTTTTACTCCTTAAGTGCACAACTCCCCACCTATGCATGTTCAGTTTGTTTCATTCGTTCAATATTGGGTTAACATTGCTGTAATCATAATATACTTACTGGTTGTGATGACTCATCTAAAGAGGGTATTGCAAGTTGCACTGAGGGCAACTAGATTAGACTGGAATCCCCAGTTGTGAATCTGCGTGCAATAGAATTATGCCACTTTAGCATGCTGTGATGCCTGGATTAGCATCGCATCATGCTGATGTTAATTATTCAAATCTTCCATTACGTATACATTTTGTTCAAGCAAATGACAAAGCAATATTGGTATCAGATAATCTTTTAACCAGGAACTACCAATTAGCAGAGATTGTCTGGGGTTTTCTGTATGATTAAATAGTGTGGTTACATACAGTACATCATTAATGAGTTGCTAATCTTACTATATTTTTTTAGTTGAATGGCACTTCCACACTCATGTCATCCAATTCTAATCCCATATTACCATACAGGTGATTCTGTATACACTGGTATTTCCACGGTATTTTCAAATTTATCCCCATATCGTCCCAAGCTGTACCAAGGCATTTGAAGTTTTAAGTAGTTTTGTTTAGTAGAGCTGTTAATTGCATTATGGGAAGTGAAAATATTTTAATTACTTTTGCTAGGTTTGGTCATGATTGTAAAATATGTTTTTGAGTTAATTTGTAACAATGTGTAATATACTGCATTGATGCTACAAACAACATGTGTTTTCAATATACTATTCAAAATATGTGTTTAGTTCAAAATATAATTGTCAGATGTATTCTCCTTAATAATATATAATATTTTTGATATATATATATATATATATATATATACATTGCGTTTTTTGGGTACCTGGTAGGTTCCAACACAACCTGCGCTGATTACTAGCTGCAATATTATGGAATGATAATATAATTTCATTTACTAATTTAATTTGGTGTTCAATGTGTTCCATATGTGTTTGATCCAATGACCAGGGTAGTAATGTGAAGCGCTTAGAGGCCTTGTAAAGGCATGAAGCACTATATAACAACGACATATTATTATTATTATTATTATTATTATAACTGCTTTGTGTTTTCCACCAGCATTTTAAAAATCCAGAATGAGGTCCTACTAGTTCATATCTTACAAAAGCTTTAGCCATCCTGGTATCTAAATTATTTAATTATAATTTTTATTTAGATTGACATATAATTTATGTTCTTAAATTTAATGATGTAAGATAACTTAGTCAGAAATTAATGATCCTGCTATTTTTCAATATCTAGATATGCACAGCCAAAACATTCCAAACATACGAAGCAGTTACGCAAACCAGTGACGGCCCCAGGACATGCCCTCTCAATTGAACACAAAGTCCCACTTGCTCAGAGCACGTATTCCAACAATCAAGCCAACTCAGGGTACTCATCCGGTTACTCATCTGGCTTATCATCAAAGCATTCCTCCAGTACTTCCGCAGCCTCGGACATACCAACTTATCCTATGAACTTCTCTCCTGCCACTGCCACTGTTGAATTCACACCAGTTAGGCCAGCTCCAGTGAGGCCTGCTCCACCAAGGCCAGTAGCAGCGAAGCCTGCCACTCCAGCGAAGCCTGCCACTCCAGCTAGGCCTTACCCCCCACCATCTAGTACCGTCAAGCCAAGCGCTCCCAGTCTACATGCATCAAATAATTCAAATTGGAAAAACAACAGAGTCCCTCCAAAATTGCCTGCGTTAAGACCGACATACGCTAATACAAACAACTCAGCCAGCTCAAGTATGCCCATATCACCAATTAAACCCCCTCCACCAGTTAAACCACCTCCACCAGCTAATATAGCTAATAAACCAAGGGTGCCTCCAAAGCCTTCGGCAGGTAAGCCGACAGTTCAGGTGAAACCTAAACCTAGGCCTAGATCTTCACTTTCATCCTCCAATGTGTAGTCTTCAATATCAGAGCCTAAATATTTTGATGTATATTTGTATATTCACTTGCAATTAAATTTTGTGTTATTCAATATATATTTTTGTTTACCAGATACATAATTTAACATTACTATTATAACTATTGTTGTCATTATTGTCTTTACTCATTATTTTTGTTATTAAACATTTAATAGTACTTTATAGTAAAAAATTCAATTCAGCTCAGAAATTATAATAATAATAATGATTATAATTATTACCATATTTTTGTTACATTGTGTAATATGTCCATATTTTATAGCAATTTGTATTTGATGCCATTTCTTTGAAAAATCAATGATTAACAAGTTCAACCCTTAATGATATCGTCAACGCATTTGCACTACGCTAGTATTTGGTCCAAACCACCAGCGCCCTCATTGGACTCATTGTTTTCTATAGAAAACTATGCTGATCAGATAAATTCACTCCTAGAAATGCTGATGATGTACTCAAGGGGTTTTTTCTGTTATGATTGTAATATCATTAATAATATTATTACTATTTCTTTTTTTTATTGCAAAAATAACTTCTGTAACTTCTGTACAAAAATAGATTTGTTAGATAAAATGTGCCAATTCTTACCATTCATTTCTTGGAAGTAGTCTTTTATAACCTTATTAATTTTACTATGCATTTAATTATATTCTGCTAAGAAATAATTAGAAGAAAAATTATTATAATGTTATTGATAGCTAACTGTATATATATGTTTCAACACTTGTTGATTTAATATTAGATTTTTGAGTAAAAAGCTAAACTGGATTAAATAGTATTTTCCCAGATATTAAACTAATATGATGAAGTTTATAACATTTATTGTATTTTGTATCACTTGTGGAACTTTAAATCATATATGGATGAATACATCCTACAGGTATGGCACATATTAGGTCATATGACTTATGACATAGTTTATATCATTTATCATAATGTGAAAGTTTAACCATACATGCCCCAATTTAAATCATATGTGTCCCAGTTTATATCATATATGGTGCAGTTGAATTTTAGTCTTTAGAAAGAAATTAAATTTATTTTTGGAGAATACATCAAGTAAATTATAATTTAAGATTTCAAAAATAGGAATGTAAATATCTATAGTAATTATGAACATAATTAAGTGAGCGTACATGTGGACATGTATATTATTTGTTTCGTACTGGAAATTTATAAAAATATGTTTTATTATCCTACATATGAATACAAAACCAATGTTGAGTGATATATAAAGTCTATCACATAATTTATTTCACAATTTCATTTGCTTGTAGTACACAGTGGCGTATATAGTCGTCTTGAAATTGGAGCTCCCTGGAGAAGTGGGGCTCGATGATTAAGTGAGTGCTAGCTAGGTTACAAAATAAGGTGATATGCGGTGAATTTTAACTACCTGAGTGGGGGTGACTCCGATTACACGCCATAGATATTTCTGAAAAGAAGTGTTGTTTTTGTTGAGTGTCTACCTGGTGTACTGCTGGTATTTATTAGTATATCTTTACTAATATTAACATTGTCCAATTTAATATGATCACTGTCATACAATTTGTGTCTATGTAACTGTTGTTTCAAGATGTATTTCAGTATGCATTTATATGTTATGTCCTAAATTTTTCTCAACTACATAAATATAAATTATTAATATTTTTTTAATAATAAGCATAGTGCAATGCTGAAGTTTGTGGTCTTTTTAAAATTTACTGTAACTAATTAGACTAGGCTAATTAGGGTTGACTAATTAAGGTAGGCAAATTAGTCATTTGAAAATACATAGTACTTAGACATTTTTATTATTATTATTGTTATTACTATTGTTGTTACCATTAATATTTTTCTTTTTTTTTTCTTTTTCACATTATGTAACTTTAATAAAAGTTAAGTCAGAAAAAAAAAGAACATTTTTGCTCTGTAATTGTAAAACTCTTCCAAACATCGATATAATGTTTATCAATTTAAGCTTTGTTAATCTTTATTTAATTTATTTTGATGACTAATTAATTAGTAATTTGCAATTTATATTTATGATTCATACTGCACCTGTCATCACTTCTAATTTAATGTCAGACTCAAAATCAATAAATTAGTCCACTTTTTGATTAATTTATTATGCCGTATGTTATCTGTTTGCCAGTCTGCCTATGTATTATGAGTCATTGTAGTAAATCTATTACTGTCTGCGTCTACAAATTGTAATATTTATCGATGATGTAAAAGCAATCTTCAAACATTGTTAATATTATTACTATTATAATTTATTTTTGTTTAATTATTAATGTTTTTTAAAGTCACACAGGTAATCGTTTGAGGCATACAGATTAGATACAATGGTCAAGGATTTTTAAACGCTTATTACTCTATGTACTCGGGACTACTACCAGTAACTCTACTGACAAATGTCTACTTCCCAAAAAAGGGTCCCATTATCTCATTGCTGCCAATTTCAACTAAGTGTGTCTATATTCATCTGGCAAGAGATGGCTATATATCTTGCAAACAATGTTATTTATGTTGGTTCAATACATTTATATATTTATATTTATTAACAGTTAGTTACAGCTAAAACACATGATATGTGAATTCTTTTGTCAGAGATTTCTACCTAGGCAGCACCTTATCTAATACTGGCCAATTAGATGATGAAATAAACACTCGCATTGCTAAAGCCAGTGCATCATTTGGAAGACTGTCCTCCAGAGTGTGGAATCAACGAGGCATCAGAAGACAAACCAAAATCAAAGTATACAATGCAGTTATCCTTTCAGTCCTCCTATATGGTTGTGAAACCTGGACAGTGTATCAACGACACGCCAGAAAGTTAAACCACTTCCATCTTACTAGTCTTCGAAAACTCCTGAACATTAAATGGCAAGACAAAGTTCCTGATACTGACATATTACAACCTGTCTCTTATACACATCTAGATGTGTATAAGAGACAGGTCTCAGACAAGCTGTGCCCCTGGACAACTCATGTCTGAACGAGAGAGTGAGGTTGGATTATGCGCACACCTCCTTCACTTAAATCAATTAACGCGCAAGTCATGATCACCAAAAAAGTCCTGTGGCGATGGGGGAGCAGTGAAGTAGCAGGTGAGGATACACTGGAAGCTGCGAGCTGCAAGCCTACACACAGGCGACCTATGTTATATGGTCGCTTTCTGCATTCTCGAAACGGATGTAGGATTCGGCAGTCGCATAGGTGACTGAGCAGCCCTCTTTAGGATCGCACTGCTCACCTCCACTGCATGAGGAAGGAGCTAGAAAAATTGCCCGTTTCAAATAACCCTGGTCAGGTCACCGCGCCTGAAGGGGATCCCACTCAGCGGTCGCAAAACGAGAAAAAAAGATATAAGAAATTCAAAAAAGAGACAAAACTCAAGTTTGCAACTTGGAATGTACGAACCCTACTTGATCGAGACAGCAGTAATAGACCCGCAAGGCGAACAGCTTTAGTAGGAAAAGAACTTGCCAGATACAATATAGACATTGCTGCGCTTAGCGAAACTCGATATGCTGATGAAGGCCAAATCCAAGAACTTGGCGCTGGATACACTTTCTACTACATAGGGCGGGAGGCCAATGAACGATGCGAAGCTGGTGTTGGCTTTGCAATAAAAAATCGCATAGCAAAAAATCTCACAAGTCTTCCAAAAGGAATCAACGAACGTCTCATGTTTTTAAGACTTCCACTAATGAAAAAGAAGTTTGCAACCATTATCAGCGCTTACGCTCCGACAATGACTAACACTGAAGATATCAAAGACAAATTCTATGAAGAACTCAACTCTTTGATCAGAAGAACTCCCAAAGAGGATAAGCTCATAATTCTTGGCGATTTTAATGCCAGAGTTGGCTCCGATCACATTTCATGGAAGCCAGTACTTGGTACCCAAGGGATTGGTAAATGCAATAGTAATGGACTACTCCTACTAAAGACCTGTATGGAACATAATCTCTTACTCACGAGTACAGTCTTTCGCCAGCCATTCCGAAACAAAACAACCTGGATGCACCCAAGATCCAAGCACTGGCATCAGCTCGACCATGTTATCGTGCGATTACGTGACAGAGCTGACGTCCTTGTTACAAAGTCGATGTGTGGTGCAGACTGCTGGACCGACCACCGTCTAGTTGTCTCCAAGATGAAAATCATAATTCAACGCCAGAGAAGGCCACAAGGCCATACCATTAAGAAACACCTTGCAGTCAACAAACTTAAACAACCAGACATAGCAAAGAAACTATCTTTGAATATGACATCTGCACTTGAAGACCTCAATTCAACAGAAGACGTAGAACAAGACTGGATAAACATCAGAGACACGGTGTACAAAACGGCTTATGATATTCTAGGTCAGAACACACGCCGTCATCAAGACTGGTTTGATGAAAATGATCCCATCATTAAAAAACTACTCAAGGAAAAACAACAAAAATACAAAGACTACCTAAACCAAAAAACATCGTCTAGCAAACATGCATACCTATTGATAAAGCAGAAGATCCAACGTGATCTCAGAGAAATGCATGACAAATGGTTATGGAATAAGGCAACAGAAATTCAACATTATGCTGACACACACAACTCAAGGAAGTTTTATGAAGGAGTCCAGGCAATCTATGGACCACGCAAAAATGGCTCATCACCAGTAATAAGTGCCGATGGCAACACACTAATCTCTGACAAGTCAGAGATTCTGAATCGATGGGCTGAACACTTCAAAACTCTACTAAATCGACCATCCACTATAAACGAAGATTCAATAAGGCATCTACCACAAGATGATATCAACAAAAATCTTGACATTCAACCATCTATCGAGGAAACTGTTAAAGCTATCAATCAATTATCCAACGGCAAAGCACCAGGAATAGATGCTATACCAGCTGAGATATACAAGACATGTGAAGAACCCATGGCCCAAAAACTGACAGAGTTGTTCAAGAAAATATGGGAACAAGGAGTAATACCCCAAGACTTCAAAGATGCGGAAATAGTTCACATCTACAAACGCAAAGGCAATCGCCGTAACTGTGAAAATCATCGGGGAATCTTCTTATTATCTATTGCTGGCAAGATACTGGCACGCATCATTCTTAACCGCTTAGTAGACCATTTTGAAAAAGGACTGCTGCCCGAAAGTCAATGCGGCTTTAGAAAGAACCGTGGAACTACTGACATGATCTTTGCTGCTCGACAAATCCTGGAAAAGTGTACTGAACAACATAATAATATTTACTTCACTTTCGTTGATCTTACCAAGGCATTTGACTCCGTATGCCGAGCCGGCTTGTGGAAAATAATGGAAAAATTTGGTTGTCCCACCAAGATCATCAATATGGTCAAACAGTTTCATGATGGAATGAAAGCACACGTCATAGAAAACGGCAACCGCTCAATCCAGTTTGAAGTTACCAATGGCACCAAACAAGGCGATGTTCTAGCGCCTCTCCTATTCAGTATGGTGTTCACAGCCATGATGATGAATGCCTACAAAAGTGAAGACCCCGGTGTTGACATCCGCTATCGTTTTGACGGTGGATTATTCAATCTCAGACGCTTAGGAGCCAAGACAAAAGTAAGACATTGCAGAATACGTGACCTTCTCTTTGCTGATG